GGAATTGAAATAATAAATGTTATTATGTTAACAATTCCTACTAAATTGTTACTCAAACGCACCATTTTTTTTAATTTTTTTTTTGGATTAGAAATTGAAGAATTTTATTATGAGAAAAAGTTGAAGAGGTATAACATATATTTATGGAGTTTTTGGCGTAGAAAGAAAAAAATAATGGATAATACGTCATAAAATAGAAAAAGAACAAGTCCAACTTTTTTTTTTATTTTTTTTTTAAAAATATCTTGTAAATTTGATTTTTCCACTTGCCAATATAAAAAAATGAAAAATAATTTGATTTTTCTTCCTGTTTTTTCCCCCCTATTCGGTATGCTATATTCAGGGCGTGCAGAACTAGCAAGGATCAAGGGAGTATCATTCGATGAAAAATTACACGTATATATTACTTCTCGTGTGTTTATTTTTTATATTTCAAACCATTTTAATAAAAATACGGATTCCACCACTAAGTGAGTCTTGGATAATTCAAATTCACCTTATTTAAGGTGAATTAAAGAAAAAAATTGATACTCTCTCGGTCCCTAATTACTTGTCCACTTTTCCTTTTATAGTTGTTCCTAATTACTTGTCCATTTTGACAAATCAAGAAAGGACAATTTTTTTTTATCTATTATACCCTCAATTAAATGACTAATTACTTTGAAAAATGCAGAACTTTTCATCCACTTCATAATTAATAGGGGTAAAATGGTAAACTCACTACGTAAATCATTATTTTCTTAATAGATGTGTCAATTCAAAAGTGGACAAGTAATTAGGGACAGATGAAGTATTTTACTAGGATTATTTTTCACAATAAACTTATTTAAAAACCATGATACATGATTGCATAGAGGTCAAATTAATAATTTCATTCATGAAAATAAACTACAATATCAACTTGCAGCAAATGGATCTACAGTATTATATACATATCTGTATGATATTGACCCAATCTATACAATTATGACTTAGATAATATGTAGCGATAATCATGATTCATGGGATTACTTAAAAAGATTTGGAAGTAATTATATGAAAATATGAAATTTTAATTATTTAAATCATGATACTCTTTAGTATATTGAATCTTATATTCATTAATTTTAATCAAGTCAAATAAAAACTTTTTAAAAATGAAAAGGAGGTGGTTAGAGGACTCGATCCCCCAATTCAAAATTTCTAATTAAGGAATGAGTAGATTTATATTACATAAATTATATGTTACTCATTGTATTTTTTTTTTCCTTCTCAATATTACAATACAGCTTTTCTGAATTGTTTGTAAAGGCTTGATAAGTCAAAAAAAAAAAGCGTCGAACTTATGTCCTCTTATCTAATTTTGACTATTTCTTTTTCCACTAAAAAATTGTAAACCAAGAGATGAACTAATTTTAAGGATAAAAAATAATTTTTAATAGTAACGTTTGGTAGTGCTTTATTGTTTTAATAGTAATACTCTTAAACGTGCTCTTTAACATGATCTCATTTAATGTATGTCTTTCAACTTTGAATATGCCTAAATAGACATTTAAACTTGAATAAAACTGAACGAGTATACGATAGATGGAAAAGGAAAGATAAATAAAGGAAGACCAAACATTTCATTTTCTGAAAGAATATTATTGCACATTGAATTTGTCCAAAGGGTAGTTGCGTTTGATTAGGAGAGGGAGAACATTTCGTTTTTAATTTTTCCTTTTTCTTTTTCCGATTAAATATATCTAATCTTCAATTAATATAAACGTATGATTTTGATCTCTCAAATTAATATAAATGTGTGAACGTTGCACATTGTATCTACTCATCCCTCTAGTCATAAGTTATTAATAATTCAAGATAAAATAGACGAAATATCTTTAAATCAAAGTTATTTGGGATAAAGAAAAATTTATTATAAAGGATGGTGGAAGTAGTCAAGTTGTCATTTGATCAAATTAGAGGAATACATCAATGTCAACCATAAATTAAATTAAATGTACAAATATTATTTTCTATTCTTCTATCGGTTTCACAACTCTTCAATGTATTGGTCCCAAAAATATCATGCATCGTAGATATTAAAATAGGATGACTAAAAATTAAGCTAATTTGACAATTACTAAACAATGGAGTACTCCATTTCCTAACAAGATTCCTTGCACACTACTAAACAATTACGGAGTCAGAATTTTCATTAAGAGAGTGAGTTTAAAATATGATTAAGTAAATATACGAAAAATCAACAGAGACAATATATTAAAAAATAATTTTAGTCATGTATAAATAATATAATTTTTCGTCAAAAAAGATTCAGAGTAACCCCTCAATTTTACCTGACTCCGCTCCGCAATACTTAATATACGTTCAAAATGATAAAATGGAAAAAGAGAATTGGGTTGAGGGGCAGGGTAGGGGTAAAGGAAATTATGAGTCTTTTATTTACATATACATCCAACTAAAGTATTTATTTTGATCGATTTAGGTATATTTGAATGAAACTTCGAGGAGTACAGGATCAAGATGTTAAGTTAGGATAAATCGAGTCTCTCAGATATTTTTAAAAATCTATAGAGATAATGCGAAGTCATTCCTGCTTTGATGCCTAGAAGCTTTTATGCAACGTTGGACATTACACACTCTACAAATAATAGTGAAACTTTCACGAGTATGTAGGAAATAATGTGAAGTCTCACCCCTATTTCGTTGTTCGGAAAGAAACCGTTATTCTTACATCACCCTTTGTGTTGCATTGGAGTTGTACAAATTTTCTAATGTAGTGCCAAAAACACTTGATCAGACCTTCCACCTCCAGAAATTTCTTGAGAAAAAACAAGAGTTATAATTTGTCTATTATGAATGGAAGAGCTAAGACCAATTCCCCAGAGAAAGTAAACAAGAATCTCTTTGACCATTTAATTTAATTTAAAGAATAAGAATCAAATTTATAGAAAATGACACTCACAAAAAAATTATATAGGTGAGACTAGAAATGTTTCATGATTAATTAGCCCAAATAAAATGTATATAACTAAGCTAGCGTTTGATCATACTTTTTGAATTGGATTTAAAAAATTATTTTTCTAATATATATTTGATCAGAGTTTGAAAAAATGGTTTTCATATATTTTCAAGTTCCCAAAAAATGACTGATCAATTTTTGGGAATTCCATCATAAAACTTTTTTTAAAAAAATCTGAGTAAAATACATGTTCAAACACAACTTCAAATTTTAAAAACTACAACTTCAAAATCTCAAATTTTCAAGTTACAACTTCAAAATCTATGTCAGATGAGAGCTAAGAATCGTTATACTTTCTACTGATAGAAAAGAGAATACACGAGTTCTATTAGATAAATGAACAAACTAAACGAGAGTATATATATCCATTAGCTTGATTAATCTAACAAATTAAATCATATATATAGTTAATGAATTTGCCAAAGTTATAAATGGGGATATATAGCCATTAGCTTGATTATTGTTAGCAATCTTGTAGTGTATTTGAGGTCTAGTTTTCAAGTATTGGGCTTTTTCTTATAGCAATAATGTTATGGGCCTTGGCTCTTTTGGATCGTATAAAATTGAGGCCCAAATGATGACACTGCATAATGTTCAAATCTTATCATTTTAGTTTTCAATTGAGGTGATATTCTCTATATTTGAGCTGTATCCTCTTAAATTATGATGATGGTGTTAATCATCTTTTTTATCAGAACAATATCTATGAATAAATTTAAAAAATTGGGCTTCTTACGTAAATGTATCATATGTCAAACAAAAATTTAACTAAATGGTTGCATGTATATGTAATATATAGATATTGTATAATAGTAAATAATTGTATACTAGTAATATATGGATATATATATAATATATATAACTATTATATAATATTTATACAAGCAATTCATCTCTCCAACAAACATATTCTCTTTTTTTTCAATCTCAACCCGCTCAAATCTTCTATAAACAATCCCATTATTTCAAACGGAGCTATAATTTTTTTTGTCTAAATTAACAGGCATGAAACCCTAATACATGTGTATTTCTCCGCGAAGGAGTATTTCTAAGTGATGGTGTAAAATTGCATTTATGTAAGACATAGACTATAATCTTCTATAAACAATCCCAAAATTTCGTAAGGAACTCTAATATTTTTTATCCCTATTTTTGGTGTTGAGATTCCAATTCTTGTTAAGAAAGGCCACCATCGTCAAATAGTCACTTGGGATTTGATGGAATAATCATTTTGTCTAATTTATCTTTTTTATAAAAAAAATAATCGATAAATAAATAAAGAGTTTAACTTATGTATAAATAAAGTATTGTTTACATCATCAAATCACCCAAATATTAATACTAGAATTGTAATCATAAAGATAATTAGATAGTTTACATGCTATATAATCTATAAAAATGACCTACTGAAATAAAATCTCTTTAATACATCGTCAGTGAATATTAGTTAAATTCACAAATATCGAGCAAATGTGAAAATGTCGATAGATAAAAAAAACAAAAAATGTGTAAAGAAATGCCAAAATTTGCCACATAAAGTTAGAGAAGCAAAGGCAGTTTTCACACTGAAAATAGTCGATATTTTTCCTTTTTATCAAGTTTCAAGATTTTATTCAGAATTTTAGAAGCTAGCTAGCACATCGTGTATGGCCTAGGATTCTCAAAAAATATGAGGTAGCAACATACAAAATTATAAATATCTTCTTTGAAACAAATAAAATAAATAGATAGATATTTGCAACAATATAGGTACAAATATATTTATCCTGGATAAAACAGTACAGTCCAATCATATCTTGATCTCTTCGTAATTATCCCAATAGTTTATTTACCACCTATATGAGCCAGAGAGGTTTAGAGTAAAGTAGACTCTAAGAATCCTAACTAAAACATAACTCATCTTTGCAGACTCCTACGAAAAATCGACGTGTACAAACTTACAAGTATAAAAATGCATATTCCTAGCGTTAAACTTCAACTTTTTTTTTGGCATCACAAAATGGCATTAAAAACTTGCTTCTTCTTTTTCATGATATTATGTTATTGTAACATTATAATAAGCCAAGCCAATAATATTCCAAAATTCACATCCATTTTAGTATTTGGTGATTCATCAGTTGACACTGGAAATAACAACCATATTGACACTATAGCTAAAGGCAATCATTTACCATATGGTCAAGATTTCACAAACCATATCCCAACAGGAAGATTTTCTAATGGAAAATTAGTGCCAGACATGTTGTCAATTTCATTAGGTCTCAAAAAAAATGGTGTTCCTCCCTATTTACAACGCGATTTGTTGAAAAACGACTTGATTACTGGAGTATGTTTTGCATCTGGTGGAACAGGATATGATGAATTAACTAGTACAATATCTGGAGTAATTTCTATGAAGGAAGAGTTAGAATATTTCAAGGAATATTTGAGTAAAATTAAAGATATTGTTGGAGGAAATAGTAGTGAAGTTGAAAGAATAGTGAATGGTGCTTTGGTTATTGTTAGTGCTGGTACTAATGATTTGATATTTAATTTTTATGATTTACCTAATAGAAGACTTCAATTCAGCTTGAGTGGCTACCAAGATTTTCTACTTGACAAAGTCCAAAGTTTTATCAAGGTTAATACTACTTACTCTAATCTATCGTTAATTCGTACCTAAATGAAATTTTTGTTGTTTAGTTTTGAAATTTTGTTTTTATGTGATCAGATCGATCACTTAAATATATATCTCACACATCATGTTAAAACATTTTCTTAGTGTATCAACTGATATAAGAGTCAATAGTTCATCGGAACGAATATGGTATTGGTGAAGTGATAGTATGGGTCTTAGTTTACTACATTTGTCCATAGGTTGGAGATATATACACAAAAATATAGCTATTGATTGACTTATATATAAATTAATTTAAAAAAATTGTCAAACTTATTTAAAAATTTAAAATTGTTTGAAAAAATAAACTTTTATTTAATGAATTATACATTCATCATATCCATCACTCTTTACTATGCATATTCGTGAGCCTCTTAGCTTTTCTAGTTAACTTCTAATGTCACTCTAGTCCCTTTTTGTCCCTTTGCATACGATGGGCGTAGTCATATATATCTCCGGATGGTGGTCAGAATTCGTAAATTATTTTTTATATATATATATTAAATCTATGATACTCTTAAGATTTCTGAATTCGTCACTATTTTTAATTATTCTAACGTGTGATATTTTTTTATTTTTTTCAGGAACTATACTATCTTGGATGTCGTAATATTATAGTAAATGGATTGCCACCAATTGGCTGTCTTCCAATGCAAATTACAGCAAAATCTCCATTTTTTAGAAGTTGCATAAATGATGAGAATTTGGATGCTCAAATTTATAATGAAAAGCTTCAGGATTTGTTAATTCAATTACAATCACATCTTCCTGGAAGCAAAATATTATATGTAGACACATATAATTTTATAGCAGGCCTTATCCACAATCCTCAACTACATGGTAAGTACTTCTTTAAATTTAATTAATAATTAATAAATTTTTAGTATATAACTCTAATTTATTTTATTTTTCTTAATTTATGTGACACATTAACCTATTTTATTTATCTTAAATATATATAGTGGTACCCATCTATATTTAGTAATTTAAACATTTCATTATGGAATTTGAAAAAAAGTAGTTTTTGTTTTCAAAGTGAAAAATGATACTGAAGATTGGATTTGTGTTAGACAATGAATATAAATTAGAGTTGTTTTTTTTTACTTTATCTGAATAATTTGGAGGGAAAAAAGTGAAAATACCTTTTTTGTTGTTTTTCAAATTCTTGAAAATTCTGCCTAAACGTATTTTTCGAAGTTCAACTCTAAAAAAAGGAAAAATAATTCATGAAATGTAATGATCTATAGTCGTAAAAATATTGATGATATGCATGTTTTGGACCATATTTTTCAAAAATATGTCTTTCTGTTTTAAACTTTGTGTCTAGTAAAACTATATTTGAATATCTGAAAATATATTTTTGTGGTTAATATATTGTATCAGGATTTGAGGAAACAAAGGTAGGGTGTTGTGGAAGTGGATTAATCGAAGCAGGACCTTTTTGCACCGAACTATCTTCAGTATGTCCAAATCCTTCACAATACATATTCTTTGATAGCATTCATCCAACTGAATCTACTTACTACAAGGCTACTCAATACTTGATCAAGCAACTCCTCCCTAAATTTGGAGAAAATTAGTACTCTTAAGTTAGCTATAGTGTTAAATTTCTTTATTAATTTCTTTTTGATATTTCTTTATTAGTTCAGCTAGTGTTAAATTTCTTTATTAATTTGTTTTTGCTATTTCTTTATTAGTTTGTTGCAAAAACAAAACAAGTGATGCACACACTTATATATATCTTGATGTTTAATTACAAGTTAAAAATGTGCATTTTATCGTATGTTCTAATATATACCTATCGTCGTTTATGTCAATTTCTTGTTTTGATACATGTTTATAGCCCTTTTAGATGCCTAGGGTTTTGAGTCCAAGTAATCCTTACGATTTTTTAAACTCTATTATGGATGACTAATATTTAGTCGTTCCACTACATTTTTTGATGATTTCTTCGTTGTTACACGTGTCTCTTTTCTATCAATTCCTTATTCACATGTCTCTTCTTTTTGTGTGTTGTATTATTGTCCACTTCAAAATGTATAATTAGTGTATTTTATAGCTATTCCACTATGGTAGTGGAATGGCCGGTACGTGGGTCGATACAATTTCATCATAATATGGGTATCATATGACAAGTCCAAAAAAAAATTCTTAAATTGCATGCTTTTAATTTCTCATCCACAAACTTTAGTCTATCCCATTTTTAATAATGTACAATTGTCCCCCACTACCACTAATTTGTCTTGTTTACCAACCAAATTGAAACCCTAACTAGCATCTAAAACTATAAATAGCGTTACAAATTATCATGTTTCACCACAACAAGAAATCAAGCATTACTTGTTAAATAGAGGAATAATACTTGCATAGAAAGAATATTGGATTTTTTATAAAAGTTTTGGTGCTTTTATTAGTGTTTTAAGTATGGCTAGGGTTAAGGCTTTGGGCTTTCTTGCTTTGCTTGTTTTGTCAACTCTTGTTATGATCTCAGAGGGTCGGGTGGCACGAAAGGATTTGGGCCTAGATTTGGGTGGTGGTGTAGGAGTGGGTGTCGGTGCTGGGGTAGGCTTGGGCTTAGGAGGTGGAAGTGGTTCAGGGGCCGGTGCAGGAGCAGGTTCAGGATCAGGCTCAGGGTCAAGATCAAGTTCTAGTTCAAGTTCAAGCTCAGGTTCAACGTCCTCAGGTAATGGTAATGCAGGTTCAGAAGCAGGCTCATACGCTGGATCAAGAGCTGGTTCTGGTTCTGGTAACCGAGGTGGATCAAGCGAGGCAGGTTCAGAAGCAGGCACATATGCTGGATCAAGAGCTGGTTCTGGTTCCGGTAATTAATGGTCCTAGATACGTAAGGATATCATGTAGCTATGGTGAAGGAGATGGTAACTAAATATTACATTAGAAAAAATAAATAATAGCTTATACTACTTTAATTTGAAATGAAAAATAAAATAAAGAATAGACTACATGAAGTCCTATATATAGTACGTAATGTGTATCTTGTTCTAGTTAATTTGTATTGTCGTCACTTGTGCATTAGTTTAAATCAATCGATGAATATAAGTATGGTTTGTGTTTATATATTCTTTCTTTCGCTAAAAGTTGTTATTTTATATCGATCAAGATGTAGTGTTTGTAAATTTACGTGAACTTAACAACTTCTGCCTAGACAACCGTATGTATATAGTTTAACATAGACATGGAGAATGTGCTGGATTGGTCAAAAAGACACTAATACGTAACTAATTTCAATTCATAACATGATCAACCTTAGCTTATGCTTAATCTTTCTTTTATTTAATTAGTTAAATAAATACCATGCCAACCACTGAAGATTGGGCTCTCAATCCTTCATTATAAAAGAGATTGATTATACACATGACAACGAAATTATAATTAATTAATTGATTAATCAAGAGTGAATGTTCCATGGAACGCTCTAGAATATCCAAATGGATGGCCACCAAAAATTAGTCGTCTCATCAAATTAAAGAGTTGAATATAATAATTTTTAGTTCAAAAATTGATGACATTGATTTTAAATTCTTGCTATGGAGTATTAGTTGAGGTATCTTGCGCCTATTGCTGACAGGAGATAAAAGGTATTCTGTAGAATTAGTTGAGGTGCTTGAAAACTGATTTTGACACCTTGGTCATCATATCAATTTGTTAGTATTATATTTGTCTACTTTTAGTTGTTATAGTTTTCTTTTTTAGAGTTAAACTATAATAATTTTGATTAATATTTTACGATGTATTTTTTAATTATATTGATATGCAAAAAATTGCAATTTATAGTACTTTTTGCATAGTTTTTGAATATCTATTTTTTTTTTTAAAATATCAAATTAATGTAATCTAATTTAATTTTGAAAATTAGTCAAATAAGTTTCGAAAATCTCAACATGACAAATAAAAATGAAAAGTGAGAGTACATAATAATTTATTAAATTATTATAGTTTGGACCTTCAAAGAATCTTCTCTAAGCATAGTTATCAAGAAAAATTACAATAAATATTTTATTACGACGTGCAAGCTGCAAAATTAGCTTAATTAAAGCATGTACTTATCAAACTTAGTGTGCCTAGTATTATTTTATTTTTATAAATTATAAGAATGAGTGTACACTAACTTTCTAACGTGGTCCAACTATAGTAATGTCTCTTTAGCTGTATTATTATCTTTCCTAGGGAGAATAATATGAAATAATCATACATTATTTACTTCTTAAGTAAACATTTTACACCGTGGTCCAACTATAGTAGTAGTGTGTCAAGGGTATATTGGTTTCATATATTTTTTATGTATACATGTGCTAGTTAATCTATAATCTTTTTCCATTATAACTAAAATTTCCAAAAAAATAAAATCCACCGAAATGTAAAACATTATTTAATTAAGGGTGGTTTGGTAGTTGATTTATAAATGAATTATATGCATGTAGGCACTAAATTTTATATGAGTAATATTATGTTTGATAGCTAATTAGAAGGTAAGTTATTCATGTATAAAATCAATATAAAAGTATTGAAAACACTTTTAATTTCAGCGTGAATTACTAGTTTCATTCTTAAACTATTGACAACCTTAGAAATACCCTCATTTACTTGACTAATTGAACTTAAATACAACTCGATTTTGCAACATGAGTGAAATTCACCCTTGAATCCTCACCAAATTTATGGATATTTTCAACACCTCTTTCAGCTTTTTATTAAGAGTCTTATCCTCCTACAAGAGTTTGAGATCAGTAACTATGTCATTTGACAGATCGAATGTATCTAAGTTTAGTTAGTCAAGTAGCAATTTGTTTTCAAAGTTGTCAATAATTGAAAAACAAACTAACAATTTGCACCAAATTCAGAAATGTTTTCAATATCCCTTTCCTTAATAAAGTGTTTTGATTTACAAAACTTACATAAATAAATATAGAAAATGAAATAAATAATACATATATAACTAATAAATAAATAAATAATTTTAATATAATTACTATCTACATAAAAAATAATAATATATATATATATACAAATTCATAATTAATCCGTACATTACTAATAATATATATATGTAACTCTAACCAGTACCAAACAACCCTTTACAAAGTTATCTTCTACATTTTCTATTTTTACCCATCCCTTTCTTTCTCTATCCTCTCCACTTTCCCAAATTTACACTGTGTGCCATTAGCTGTCCTTTCTCACTCATCAATTTCTCTCTCTTCCAAAATCATCATTCTTTAACGCGTTCACGCGTTTATTCGAAGCTCTATTTCTATATACTCTGTCCTATATATATTCCTCCCTTTTTCTGCAGATACTAAAACCCATTTTCATCTACATCAATAACATCCAATTTTAACAATTTCTTTATCAATCTCAAAAGGGGAAAAAAATTATTTTCTTCGATTTGAAAAAAAAATGAGGGGATTAGAAGAAGAATTCATTCCATCAACACCAGGAAAGTTCAAAGACAAAACGTATTACTCCGGTAACCGGCAATTTCACCGGTGTTTTGCTTCAACAAGTACAATGTTCTTATGGGCATTGTTTTTATTAGCTTTAACGGCGTCGTATTTGAGTTTTCAGTCCTTCATGGATTCCGGTACCCGGTATCTCTCCTCCACATGGGGTAGTCTTCATTGGGAGAAACAAGTTCGTGATTCCGCCCAAATCCACCGTGTTAACGGCATGTCCGTACTCGTCACCGGCGCTGCCGGTTTCGTCGGATCTCACGTTTCAATCGCATTGAAAAAACGTGGAGACGGTGTCGTCGGAATTGACAATTTCAACAATTACTATGACCCTTCGTTGAAAAAAGCTCGCAAAAATCTGTTGAATTTGCAAAATGTGTTCGTCATTGAAGGGGATATTAACGATGTTCATCTGTTAGCGAAGCTATTTGATATCGTAGCGTTTACACACGTTATGCATTTAGCTGCACAAGCTGGTGTTCGTTACGCCATGGAAAATCCCAAATCTTATGTTCATAGTAATATTGCTGGGCTTGTTACGCTTCTCGAAGCTTGCAAAAATGCAAACCCTCAACCCGCCATTGTTTGGGCAAGCTCGAGCTCAGTTTACGGGTTGAACGAAAAGGTACCGTTTTCCGAATCGGATCGAACGGATCAACCCGCTTCGTTATACGCAGCAACGAAGAAAGCTGGCGAAGAAATTACACATACTTATAATCACATTTACGGGTTATCAATAACCGGGTTGAGGTTTTTTACTGTTTACGGACCGTGGGGAAGACCCGACATGGCTTATTTCTCATTTACCCGGAATATCTTACAAGGTAAACCGATAACGGTTTATCGGGGCAAGAATCGGGTCGACTTAGCCCGTGATTTTACCTACATTGATGATATTGTGAAAGGGTGTGTCGGGTCACTTGATACAGCAGGGAAGAGTACCGGGTCGGGTGGGAAGAAACGGGGCCCGGCTATGTTTCGGATATTTAACTTGGGTAATACTTCACCGGTGACGGTACCGATGATGGTTGCGATGTTAGAGAAGCATTTGAAAGTAAAAGCTAAGAAACATGTTTTGGATATGCCCGGAAACGGCGACGTTCCATTTACGCATGCGAATATTAGTTTGGCCCAAAAAGAACTCGGGTATAAACCGACAACCAATTTGCAAACCGGGTTGGGGAAATTCGTTAGGTGGTATCTCTCCTATTATGGCTATAGACAAGAAAAGTCTGTAAAATAATTATTTTTTTCTTTGGTTATTTTTAGGATTTTTAGATTTTATGTTATCGCGGAAAAGGCGAAAGAAAAGAAAAAGAAGAGGAAGAAAAAGAAAAGAATATTATTCTTTTCTTGTGGGAGGGAGGAGTGAAGAAGATTGAACTCCTTATTCCATGTTAGAGTCTTATTGTTATAGTTACTTGCTTTTTCTTGTAAAAGAATAAAAAATTGCTCATTCTATCAAATGGTATTTGCACTTTTTTTAAAGTTATATGTTAAAGCACTTGTATAGCATATAGTAACTAGTAGTCGATATTCATATTAGAGTTATTTGTATTATTAAGGGAGTATTATATTAGGAATAAAGTGCTCCTTAACAAATACGATTTTGTATTAAGAAAAATCCAAACTCAAAATCGATTCTACTTTTTAATCAAAATCAAAGCACTAATATAAGGTTGTAGTTTTGATTCCCTCTTGAATTTGAATAAACATATGGAAGAAAAGACTTGTTATAGCATAGAGTGAGAGTATATATTTCCAAACATTGGATACTAGTTATTTGATATGTGAGTTGAATGAACTTATATGTTTTGATAACAAATTTTTGATAAGGAGCGCTTTTTAGAAAAATAAAATCGTAGATTCAAATTTAATTTAATCGAATTTTAATGCGATGAAAAAGATAGCAGACAGCTAAGATCCATCGAGAAGGACGGCTGAATAAAGGCGTGAAATACGGCTACTGGTTTAATAGTGGGGCCCAATACCATGTGACTCTTCTAATTGCAATTCCGCTGGATTGGGCCATGCTTTTTTTTTTATTTTTTTTAATAAGAAATTTAATATAGTAGATAAATGAAGGTAAATAAAATAATATTAAAATTGAATTTTTAAAAAAAAATAAACTTGATCATTCACTTTCTTTTTCCATACGTTGCACCAAAATACGAAATGGAAATAAAAAATTCATCCCAAAAAAGTCTAGAGATGCACATGGGGAGAGAGGAGGAAAAATCATTTCTAATTATATGGTATGTTTGATTGTTATTTATAGAGCATGGGATCTAGCGTTTGTCGGTTTAAAATGAGTATAAGCTTTTATATAAGTAGCTCGAGTCGAAAGTAATGAATTAATAGTTAAATCCACCAACTCAATCTAGATCATGCTAGGTAGGGCGGAGTTGACTTATAAGTAAGGGGTTGATATGAATCGAGTAATTTTTATCAGGATCTAGTTATAAATATGTATTAAGAAATCTAAAACCCCAGATCAATAAAGTGATTGAGAATCTTGAGGTCTCAAATTCAAAATTCAGGGAGACAAAAAACACTAGGTGATTTTTTCCATCTATTTTAGTCTTGATGAATATAGTTACCTAGTACCTGTTGCTGGTGGGAGGTGACAAATATCATGTGGTCAGTGGAATTAGTCGAGATGCGTGAAAGTTGGCCCGGACACCACATTCATACAAAAATTATAAGAAATTCAAAAACTATATGAAATTTTGAGGTCGCTATAAGAATCCATAAACTTTAAATCCTGCATTCACCTCTGGTACTACGAGGTACTATGGATTGCATTCATTAACAACTTCCATAATTTCCTTTTGGCAAAATGAGTTTAGATTAAGCTAGACTGTGAGTTTTGATTTTCAGATACATGAGATTGATCCTGAGAAGCATTATTATTAGTTGTAACATCTTGATCACTAAAAGGATTCCCAAATGGATTTTTGTCATTATTGTTAACCAATGCTGCTGGTCCTTCTAATAGTAGTTGAGGCACATCACCTATATTTTCTTGAATTTGTGCTTCATTTTCTTGAATCATAGTTTGTTGTTGAAGAGACACAATAGCCATTTGTTGCTGCATCATCAAGGCTTCGTGTTGTCCGATGAACGATTCGTGTGATTGAGACATATTAGCAACTTGTTGTTGCATGAAAACACCATAGTCATGGTAATGAGCCATAGCAGCCATTTGTGCACCATTTGTTCCAGAGTTTGTTGAGCTATAAAATGCATCTTGTGAATTATCAGCTACCTCGAACGGATTAGACGAAACTTCCCTATTGTAAGGGTCATTTACAATGTTCTGTCTTGCCAATGCTGTTTCATATAGATTATCCAACTTTGATCTATCTAGTACACCCCCCTGTATCTGAAAACAGGATACACAAATGTTTCAAACTCTAATGTTATAGTCGTTGCCACGAGCACAAAAACAGTTTGGTTTGAGTTAGCCTGCTTGTATAGTAAAAATGCTAACCAGTTTATTTTGATCTATGGATGCCCCCGTTGATGCTGTAACGAGTTCCAACTCCCAGCCTGTAGGTTGACTACTTTGATCTGAATTGCTCAAAGAATTCGATAACTCATCTACACATAACATGATCATCATTTTGTGAAGAAAGCTTACTACGTAGACTCGTCTACTTTGATAAAGAAGACGAAAAGAAAGAAAAATATACCTGGTGTACTAACAACTAAAGCTAATGCGTTGTTGTTATCTTCTGGTGCAATCGATTGATCTTCACTTGGTTCATCAAAAGACTATAAATATTCATAATTAGCTATGTGTAATCATTATGAAATCTCATTTCATTTTTTCATTTAGGATTTAAGAAGGTTCTTACTAAAAGGTCAGGAATGAGAGGCGGGGCAGGAGTCTCCGCGTTACTCTCTTCTTTCGTCTGTACTTCAGTTTCTTGCTCTTGATCAGTCTCTAGTTTGGATCCAGGAACAGCAATGACCTTGGTGTTTTTGTCATCATCATCCTGTTGGCATAATGAAAAGGAAAAATAGCATTAATAGTAAACAGAGAAGAACAAGTTCTATAGGTTCAACTATATAGCAATGTTAAGAAAAAAATGTATATAAGATCACACTCATTTCTAACAACATACCGGCTTCCATGTAAGCATTAGAGGCTTTGGTGCATCAGTCAAGTACTCTTCCATCGCTAATATGAATGATTCCGGAGGCTATAACGTTATCAAACAAACACACAAATCTGTTAGTGACTTGAAACTTGAAATAAGAAATCGGCACCAGAATGGATTACCTTTTCTATCTTAACGTACTTCTGCCCTCGTCCAAAATCAAGGTTCCTACATATCTCAAAGAACTCAGATAGCTTTACTGCCTGCACATCACACACATTTCCATGTATCAAAACAAACTATGCACAACGAGTCGATCCTTAATATATACAAAGGAAAATGCACATACCTGATCTCCTGCCCTTCGATAAATTTCAAGTGCTCTAACTGCATCATGACGTTGCATCTCAAAAAACTGTACAAGGTTTATTAGTCAATGCTCGATTTTATTTTACAAATACATCCGATAACTGAACCAAAACACTTGGATTGTATCGTACTTTGTCCACTAAGTTAAGCATTCCATCTGCAATTGCTACATATAGACTTGCACTTTCTGCAGCAACCTGTGTTAAACAAAAGTTGATTTTTGAATGTGAAAAGCTTCTACATCGAATAAACTTAGTCGTATATATACATATAGTGAAAGGACATTCGATGATTACTCACAATCGAAAGGGCATGCTGAATCAAGAAGTTATATTGAGCTGCTCCCTTTGGCTGAAAATATGACAGTAGTCATTATTCCTCTAAAGCAAAACAAATGAATCGGTTATTCAGTAATTGATCGATTCATCACCTGGCAATCGAGAAGACGAGAGAGCAGTTTCTGTAAACAAGGTACTGTCTCTATCAAGGTTGGAGTGTTTAACTCCTTCATTCTCTGTTTAGTATCAACAACAAAAGATTTGTCGTTCGAAAGAAAAAACTGGTCATTGGCATATCAAAAGTACCTTTCACTATAATTTGTGCTCATAACATGGCATTTCTAGTACAGAAAGAGCATGTTTAAAGTTAAAGAGGTACTAAATATATGGCGTCATTCTTTTGGGAACGGACTAAAACATTAAAAGTGTCATTCAAGAAATGGAGCTCAATACATCAGTTTCTTACAAGACAAACATCATACCTTTCGTTCTCTCTGAAAATCAAATTTCACCAAGCAGTAGCATTCAAGGTATTCTTCAAGATATAAAGCATAAGAACGAATCCACGTAGAATAGTCCCATGCTTCACAATCGATCAAAAATTAGATGTATCCACATGGTTAGTTTCTCACATTCTAGATAGTTGTAACTTTTTTACATACGGTAAGGCAAAAGATAGGAGATATATACCATTTGCACTCGAATCATCCTTGAAATGTGTTAGGTTTAACAAATGGCCTCGATGAGCACTATAGTTAATAAGCTCTTGAAGAAATGATATATCAACTTCCCTCATAGCACGATGAATAACAACTAAAGCTTTTAGCGCAACCTGAAAGAAAAAAAATGAACCTTTCAACCACAAAGAGGACGATATACAAGTAGTCCTATCTGATTTTATAACTTAAAGCAATTCTTCAATAGATTGTCTTAAGTTAAAACCATAGAAAGAGCTCGACGAGTCTATGAACTTTCATTTCCTTTACATAGTTGGTAGAAGAGCACGAAAACTGGTCATACAGAGAAAAAAGAACTAAACGCGTTAATTGAAGTAAAAAAGTAAATAAAACAAATTGCTAGCATGGTGTCATTAGATCATACTTGCCAAGTATGTGTTTTGGTGAGCCTCTTGGAAAGAGTATGTAAGCAATAGCCAACATCTGCTCGAGGTCTGTTGCATGAAATCGCATTGAAAAAAGCTGCAAAAAGGAGAATGGACTTATATAACACTGAAAAAACATGTCTGTGCACATCATATAAGTCGGAAAACAAAATAACATAGTCCAAATTAGCCATAAACAACACTAATTTCATCAGGGCTTGCCTCAGCCTTCAAGTAATCGAAGTTCACGTGCTGGTGAGACCACTAAAAAGATTGACAAAACTTCAATATCGAGTTAAATTGAACTTACTTTGTACATGCTTCTCCTTTGGCATTACCTCGACATGATTTGTGGCTTTGAGTATAGCAACATCAAGTTTCTGAAGGAAAGAACATACATATATTCTTAACTAATGATTTCGGACTTAAAGTAACTCAATATTAAGAGTATAATAAGTTTATATTCGAACAAATACTTCACCTTGTACTCACTGTTAACCTTCGCCATCCCAACCATTGTGGAATCTTTCAAAGCGCCAAAAGCTTTCCTAGCCATATATATGCAGTATTCGAACTCCCTACAACTTAATATATTACCTGCAACAAGAACGTCGAATCAGTGACAACATTCTA